GTTGTCAAACTGACGGTTGCGGCTTGCAACCACCGACAGCAATTATCCAGCCGCAGTGCAATTGCATGAATGCTGTTATTTTTTCTGTTCTATAGCAGGAGCATAACAAGTATCATTTTTTTAAGTAATAATGAAGTTGCCCGTTTTGTTAACCCAAAGTGGATAAATAGATATCTTAAGACAGTGGGTGCTGGGGTACAGTGCTAATTACTAACCTTACAAATGAGTACTTGCTTTTTACTTTTCACTTTCATTAGCGTTCTACTATTCTCTTGCACATTATATGTACTACTAATTGTAGACTGGAGAAGACTCGAGAAGCAGCTCTTTACTACGTACTAACTCCTTAAACGATTTCAGAAATTATGGATGAGTGATAATGTAATGGGAATACACCTTTCGTTGATAACACAAAAAATACACGAATGTGTTTACAATGTTTGCAAATCACGTTTAGGTGAAACACCAAAGAAAACAGAAAAAGGTCATTACTACGCAGGGTAGTGAGCTATCCCTGTTAAGCAGAATTCAAGTAAATGAGTTCTGACCATTCTGTTGCAAACAGATGTCATGTGTTACAGTATCATCCCCATTTTCTTAAAAACGTTTTCATGTTTCTCTCAGACACGTTTACATTAAATGATGCTGCCACAAACAAATATTATGTAATTATTAGAAAATTTATAACTTACTGGTACCTATCTTTATCAAGCCAATTTGTTTTAATCACTACTTCCGCATTACCAATACGTCACCCACATAGACCACTTCACTACCCTTTTTTACATTTTATTTGAATAAATTGATGTAGGAAAGGACAATTCACACCATATTCGGTATTATAAAGGTGATCAATAACATTTAAACATCTGGAGAACAATTATGAAAATAAATGAAAATTGGATAGAAACAAAATATGAAACAACTATTTTTGACACCATCTATTCACCGCGTGAAAGTTCACAAATTGAACTTGGAAGTTTTATATATTACTTTAAAGCTCTTCTCTTGCACGAAAACCTTGTTCCAACATTCTGTTGTGGTAGCGCATAACTAGGAAGACAACATTTTAAAATACAAAGCGGCAGAAAATGATTGTGTGTTAGCAAAGAAATTCACAGGGAGAAGCACATAGTCCAAAGTCAACCATATTATTGATGTTCGTTGTGATAGTCGTGGAGGCTTACCAACATTATGCACCTAAATCGTTGTGATGTCGAGTAATTTGAGTAAATGACAAATGAGATCCATCGTTTGACCTAGTAAATTTACATTCCAGAGATTTGCCTGTTTGATAGAAGATAGGTCGATTGGAGATACCTTAAGAAGTCCATATCTCTAGTGATAATATCTCAAGACCCTTCTTTGATATTGGTTATTTCCAGAATACACTATTTTGGCGCAACAGTTTTCTCACGTACTTTAACTTATTTCAGAAATAATTTTCATGAATTCTTAAGCTCAATTCACCAATGCACATAGGCAGGCCAGAGACCTTCATTGAGCACTACACCACCATATACAGGGGGTTCCCGCGAGACTGCGAGTAGGAACGTTAACAACAACAACAATGCAGTGGCTCCATTTGCTGGATGTAATGCAGTCCTCCTTCCCTCCCTCCCCCCCTTGTGGCATTGGCGCTTACAGCCCGCTGGGGCCGGGCGTTGCCATAGCGACAGAATGCACCGTTAATTCAGTTTCACTGTCGATTAATAAAGGACGTTTAAACGAAAACTCGCCAACAACAATTTTATTTTAACTCCCTTCGGCGTTCATTCCCCCCTTCCTGGGAAATTCATCCAGCGCATTCGCCCCAGGCGCACATCCGCGCCGCCCCCTTCCCCCCTCCCCCTCCCTCCGCGCGACGCCAGCGCCTCAGGCGGCGAGCTCCGGCCCTTCTTTAACAGCACCGCCTCCCCTGTTATTTCCCTTTTTATGATGCTCGTTAAAACAACGATATTTAACGTTCGCCGACCTTTCCGATAAGCACCGTCTGGATTTTGTTTCATGAACTGGCAGTAAATGATGAAATACCGATACGACTTCAGATTGTATTGACCTTTGTATTATTTACCTCATCATCATTTTAAAATTTAAATTCCCTGTGCAAAGTTTTGGTTACTGTACAATAGTTGAACAACATGGCGTAGAGAAAACATGTTGGTCCTCCCTACCTGCCAAAGAAAAGACAAATATTTATCAATATTTCACATACCGCAAAGCTGGTAGTGACACAGAATAAACACCGAAAGCAAATACACGCTTTCAAAAAAAGTCCAATGTTGATGTATAT